GCTTACAGAACAAAATAGTTTCTCATTTAACAGTTACTACAAATGTTGCCCTATGACAATGGTTAACAATCTCACAACACATCAACAGTATCCTTACTCAACCTTGGGTTCCCTATCACCAGCTTCCTTCTCCCCTTCTGCTTTCTGGCCCTTGTCACTGGACTCCTATACCTTGTTAGTCTCATTTGGTTTTACGGGGCTGTCCACTCCCTAGCCTAGAAGTTTTGCTGAAAACTGTCCACCATGGGTGACCCTGATGGTATCTGAAATACTAGTGGCATAGCCTCCAGCATCATAGCAACACACAAGCTGTCAGTATGACAAACTCACAAATGGGTGGTTGATTTCAACAGAACACGACTAAAATTCAAGCACAAACTCTGAAACTTCTAACTGTTCCTTCTACACAGCCATTTCTTTCTGACTAAAACTCTTGGTTTCTCAAAAATATTTTCCTAACTTATTAGTGAACTGCTCCAATGACTTTGATAATCTTGATCTATTTCGGAAATAACTGTGGTCTGTATTTTCCAAGTTACCTTAAAAAAAAAATCAATGTAAACTAAGACTCCACTAATGAAAAACCAACTAGTCATTGTTACAATTGGTCTTTTTATCCCCCCTACTAAATTTTCCATTTTGCTATTCATTTATACCCTCGGGCTTTCTGATTAAAAACATCCAATCTCAGGTTATTTTCTATCAAATGCTACACTGCTGGCTGTCTTACACTATTCGTTCTGTTCTTCCAGATCCAAAATTCAATTTTTTTATATTATCATTCGTCCTTCAGTAATCGAGAACACGAAGTGTCACTCTTCTTTCGTGTTCTCAGAAAATCTTTCATTACTCCCTAATACTCTTTCCACCTGATTTACCACCTACTCTCTTTAATCTAGGACTATAGCAGCTGTTATTTAACGGATCACCTGGGGATCTTGTTAAAATGCAGACTGATTCACTAGATCTAGGGTGAGCCTAGATTCTGCCTTTCTACCAGTTTCCAGATGCTGCTGGTCCATTGAAAATACTTTGAATAGCAAAGCCTTATGCTCTAGTTGTTTAAACGTCTTAACTCTTTTCTCTTTTTCTTCTGACTTTTATGCCAGAGATGATTTAACTCATGGTAGAAAAGAATCTATCACTGAACTTGGAATTCATTAGTGAATTATTCAATCCAAAGATAAACAACAGTTTTCAAAGTTTTCTGTAATGCTAACTTACTGCACACTTTTATTAAAGTCATTCTCTTCTCTGCAAAAACCATTTTCCTATAATGAAAAATCTTCATGAAATCCACTTACATCATCCTCCTCACCACCATCTTCATCCTTATCCTTCTTCTTCTTGTCTTTTGGGGGAGGAATAAAGTGGGTCATCTGAATACAGTCTTCCAGAAAATATTCTGTCAGGAACAATCCAGTCATGTAAGTACTATCAATTTTCAGAATGGAGCAGTTTTAAACTCAGCTGCTAATTTATGATTACCTTAAAACCTTTCAATCTAACTCTTCACAACTGCCAAGAAATTCCAGTGGTAACAGTCTTTTGTCCCCAGTGTCCACCTCTCTTAGACTTTCAAGAATGGTAAGGTATCTATGTTCCCACAAAGGCAGTTGGGGTATGCTTTGTGCACAATGTTCAACCAAACATTTATGGAATGCCTATTGTGCAGAAGCAGTATGTTATATACTCTAAAGTGAATATAAAACTGTCTCTAAAAGAACAAAGTGTGGTACGGGAGTTATACATGGAAAGAAAGAATCTCAATACAATAATGTACCACAGTCTACTCCTTTCTCTATCAGGATGCACACATAAAATGGGTTCCTGTTAGTTCTTACTCTGAAGAGGGATCTCAATGCAAAGACTGGAAGATCTGCTGACTAATTATGCCTAAGGTTCTCTGACGGTCCCAGAAGAGTCTCTATAATCTAAAAACTCCCCTTCTAGACCCTAACAGCCCCGAAGTGCCATTCTTATCACATTAGTAAACACACATACTATCAACAGTACTCATGACTGATGATGTTAAACCTGGTCACCTGACCATAGAAGTGTTTTGCCAAGTTTCCCCATAATAAAGTTACTCCTCTCCTCCTCCCCCGCTTTCATTCTTTACTCTTTTTAAGCACAGTCCACTCAAGGGATGGGGAGTTAAGTCCCACTTTTTCTAAGGTGGAGGAGACAGTACCCAATTAATTACCTGGAATTTTTCTATATGGGAGATTTGTTTCTATGCCCCACTTATTTATATCAGTATAGACTCATGAATAGCTATCTTATACTCTGGGTTATAATCCAGTACTATGTTATTTTTATTTTTCTGCCCAAATTGTTCCAGCTTTGGCCATTGGGAGCTCTTTTGTGTTAGTACCTGTGTCCCTCTGACCCCTTTGTCTATGGCTTCTGTGTCATTCTGTCTCTGTTACTGTGGGCTTTTTTTTTTTTTTTTAAAAAAAAAAAGTACTCCCTTACTTTCTGATACTACAAAATGCTGCAGGCTTATCTTGTATATCCCCTGCCCCAACTCCAGCATGAGTCATTTCTCCAAGAAGTTCTGGTTCCTTTTACTGCAGAATGGTATTAGAAACCAAAATCTTGGTGCGAGGCATGATCCTTGCTCCTAGAGTATCATGACTTTTAGGCCCTCTCTGCACAAAGAACTGTATGTACGTACATTTAAGAAATATATATATACTAACCATGTATACATATACATCTATAATTATTTCTACATTTCTGTAACTATCCATTGGCTAAAATATATGTAATTATTTCTATAACTACCCACATTTGCTAAACATGAGTTTATACTGATGTCTCTGACTGCAATCCAGTACCACACGTTTCATTCTAGTCTTCCCCTCTACTTACCTGTAACCTCTCACTCCAACAGTAAGAAACCTGGCTCCCACCACCATCGACCACCCCATTCACTTATTTTTTCAATCCCAGTATACATGTACAGCCGTTCCAGAATTGTTAACACATATCCCCATAAGAAACAACTCCACTGGCTTTATTTCACAGCTACTCTTCAAAAATTAGCACCCCAAAAGAGCCATTCATCATTTCATACCCAGAATGCTAATCTCTTAGCTTATTCTCATGTCCTTAATTAGATTTTACCATAATTCATTTTTTTAAAATTAAGCTCCTAGATGACTGTCCTAGAAAATGTGATGATAACATCTCTAAAGAAACTAAAGAAGCTCTTTCTTGTCTATAAGAAAATCAAACTCTCCTGGCTTGACCTTGAAATATTCACCTTAATCTCATTTCTCAATCTGCCTGCTCTGTCTCTAGGAAGGATTCTCTGGTTAATTTGACCCTGGATGCTTAAATTTTTAACAGAATTTCCCATGAACATCTACAGATGATATTGATTTAAACTTGACTGTATATTATAATTTTAGAACTTAAGTTTCGCTATGAGTAAAGGCCAGAAAATTTACTAGATGTGCAAACTCAAGTAGTGTATGAAACCTCATCTCCACTTCTCAGACTGTACTAAAAAATAAATACACTGTCTGGCTACAATCACTGGCAAAAAAACTCCTCAAGGATACTACAATGCATCTGATACTCTAAGTTGGCCTGTATTTTAAATGTCATTTAAAATATTCCTCTAATCTCCAGGATTAAGAAATTCCAAATGCCACAACACAAAAGATTTTCAACACCCCCCTCCTCCAATGATATTTACCTTGAACTGGGAAAGTCCTTCCGTAAACTTCAATAATGGGGCAATTGAAGAAATATTCACAGAACATGCTGGTATCAATAGTTGCAGACATGAGAACAATGCGAACTTCAGGGTAAGCCTGAACCACATCACGCAGCACTACCAAGAGGAAGTCAGTCTATTAAGACAAATGGGAAAAAAAATGCATAAAAAGTTAACACTCATGAGATGCATTTAAAAAGATTTCTTGAGTTATATAGCCACAAGACATCGGTGAAGTTCAGTTTCTTAGATGGCATGTAGAAGCAGAAGAAAAAGGATTACAGTGGGATGGAATAACAAAGTTTTAAGATCGGGTGTAGCCTAATAGCTCTGGAGATTAGAAATGGGTGCTATCTGGATAGGGAAAGTGGGGGAGAGAACATCATTAATGAGAGCAAGGAATTAATTTCAAAAATTTCAGTGGAATATAAATTTGTAGGTGCACAACTTCAACTAAGAAAAAGTAAAGGAAAAGCCCATGATGAGCCTAAAATTAGTTATCTAATCATTTGTAAGGCTAATTTAAAAATGCTAAAAGGTCAAATTTGGTTTCCTCAAACAAAATAGTGGCTGAGACATTTATTATTTTTAATAATATAAAACATCTATCAACTGTGAAGTCAATCACAAAAGAACAACAGCTATTCAGTCAGAAATACTTAATCCAGCTGATCAATTAGGCCAGCTCTTACTGATCAATGCAGTTATACTTAATTTACAACAAGTTGTCTTCACTTTTGGAATTCTGTAAGTTTAACTCTTTTAAATAAAAAAAGAAAGGTTTGATGGTCTTGCTAAAAAATTACTGACTCTTCATATAAAGGAGTTCAGTATCTTAGTAACTAAAGTTCATGGTTTTGATAGAAAATACATGGGGAAAGCAAAAAAGAAGCAATGACATTCCACTTTAGTTTGTCTCCATTCTGATACAGTATTAGTACCTTACCTGTAACTCTCAATTTACTTACATTAATGTCTCTTTCGTGTATTTCATCCACAATCACATGACTGATTCCTCGAATGCCTGCTTCCAGTTTTCTTAGGAGCACACCTTAGAGAAGAAAATAAGAGCAACAACTGGAGATGAGTTTCTATGCTTATTGAAGTAGAGCAGTATAGAAAAATGCAAAGCAGCAAATTTCTAGGCAATCAACTATGCTTCAACAAATACAACCCCAGCAGCATTTTAGGACAAAAACAACCCTAATATATATAAACTATTAAAATGGTGTTTAAGTGTACTCTGCAATACATTTGTTTAGCGAAAAGATTACTATAAGACACGTTTTGTTGTGTGTCGTTTAGTCAATTCAGACTCACAGTGACCCTATAAAACAGAATAGAACCACCACATAGGGTTTCTTAGGCTGAAATTTTTATGGGAGCAGATCGCCAAGTCTTTTCTCCTGCGGAGCAGCTGGTGGGTTCAAACTGCCGGCCTTTCGGTCAGCAGCCAAGCGCTTAACCATTGCACCACCAGGGCTCCTATGAAAAAACATAACCTCTATAAAGTTAAGCTGATTTCAGCAGGTACATCACGTACTCCAAAGAAGAAAAAAAATTTCCAAAAGTCCTATTTAAACAAGATTTCTGAAACTGGCTCCTTGATTTAATATTTCCAACCATCCTATGCTATTACCAAGTTCTCCAAACAATACAATACAAACCCCAAATGGAAGACCAAAGCACATTACTGACCTACAGTACAAAACATTATACTGGCATGAGGACGGGGAAGTATAGACTCAAATCGAACACTATAGCCACAGCTTTTTCCAGGCTCTTCTCCTCTCTCATATGCAACTCGCTCTGCCACAGACACTGCACTGATTCTCCTGGGCTGAGACAAGAAAAAAGAAAAGTGATTTAAAATCTACAAAATTGAAGTTCACTTATTAATGTCATTAAATTATTGCCAATATTGCTATCTGTTCTACTGCCAGCTCAGTAATTAACAGAAACAAGAAAAGCAACAATCAATATCTTTAGAAAGAGCCAAAATTTATTTTAAAAATTCTGGAAAATAAATTACCACCTAATTCTATGGCAGACATTTCAAAAACTACTGATTTTCATTTTACATATAATTTCATGGTTTCTACAGATAATAAAAAAGGAAATTCTACAATTTTTTGCCATTGGCCCAAACTCTTAATGATACTCCACAGTGATCTTCCATAGTAGTAGGAGAGGGGAGATAGCACATACGGGCAGCTTGTTATTGTTATTGCCTGCCACACTGAAGACACACTTTTAGAAAATTATTAAACTGAGATTTATGAGAATTATGAAGGTGAACAAATTCCTTTCTTACCGTATCTACTGTGACCACCCTTCATTATGTACAGATAGGACATTTATAAAAACGGAATGCTTTAAGTTGCCTTGATTTTTATGTTGTCAAAAAGTTCCTAATGACAATTTGTATTTTAATCCCTCACTTGAGAAAACTTTCTAAGTTTCATATAGAGTTAGTGCTTATATGACATTCCAGGATATGAAATGATTAATTGGGAAATCAGAGGTTCACAGAATCTTAAAAAAAAAAAAAACCCAAGCCAATAACTTCATTAGAGCTGTCAGTATTCTTGGAAACAGTTCAAACCATGATTAATATTCACATCCCTCATTCAACAGAGCCCCTTAAGCTATGGGGCTAGTAAAAAAATTCGGGTAAACGTATATCCATGTTTATCCTGCTCACAAGGACGAGAATGAAAACTGCCTTGGTGAATAGACTGTGTAGAATTTTTCTAACCTACTAGCTTATAATTGTGTCTGGTTTATGTGTCTTGATTTGCTAAACTATGTTAGTTTTTACTGACCACTACCTTCTTTATTAAACTATCCCTTTAATAACCTTATTTAGCAATGGATAAGGATATTCCTAGCTGGGCTACCATTTTCTTGAATTTCTCTGTAACTTCAGCTTTTAAGCAAAAGAGTTTCATAGAAACTACAGAAGTCCTAAGTTTCAACTCCTATAAGCCATACCAGCTGTTTAAATATTATTTTATGTATCTTCCTCATCCACAGACTTAATTAATGAGATCAAAATGAGGTAGAGGCAGCACTCTGCACCTCACTGACCTGAGTAACAGGGTTACATACAAGAATGAGCTCTACAGCTGTTTATCAAGAGAAGAGTTCTGCTATATACTTAAATCAAGGAATATGAAAATAAAGGTACAAAATACAAATGTTTTCTTGCCTTTTCAAGAATTTCCTTCTTAAATTCTGTAAGCAACAGGTAAACGCTCAAACCTATTATTATTTCCTTTCTCTATTTTGTTTCGGTTCCTATAGTTTTTAGTATTTCTATGCAAGAGCTGGCTTCTGAAAGAACTTCAATTAGGACATATGACTCTTCTGAGTTCTGTTTATATGCTATTGAGTACTCAGTGACTGCTTTATCACCTTGAGGCCACTTTAAAGTCTATCATCTTTGTAGTTTCCAGCTTTCCCCAACCATGAATATGGGCAGATGACATATCCCCATATCCCCTAAGCATTAACTATTTTAGTTCTTAACTCTATTGTCCCCAAAACACAACTGTCTTGAAATTCAAAGATACTACGATAGAGGTTGTTACAAATACAAGAGGTGCTTAAAAAAAAAAGATCTTCAGAAGCCCTGCCTTGAGTAAAATTTCCTTGAATATAAACAATATCATTATCAGATGACTATTCAAACAGCAAAGAAATAAATGATCTTGCTATTTCTTCTGTATTACTTTATATGCTTTTCTGACTTATCAGCTTCCAGTTTCCTCAAAAGCCTGGAATTAAACAAACACACACACTTAAAATATAAACTAAAAAGAAAGCGCTTCTTTCATTCAAACGTGATTTAGACTGGAAGTCAGCGCAATTTTCCGTGAGGGGAATACGGCACAAAGTGTATAGGAGTTAAAATATGCATATTCTTTGGTCCAACAATTCCACATCTAGAAATTTATCTCACTGAAAAAACAAACGTTAAAAGACAGATTCACAAGTATTCCCAAACCGTAATACAAAAATATTAGAAACAATCTAAAATCTCCCATCATTTAAGAATAAAGGGTGTATTTATAAAATGGAAAATTATGAAGCCATTAAAAAATTACAATGTAGCTCTAATACCGTACGTTGTTACACAGGGGGACAGACTAAAGATGGTGGGCATGTAGTTTCTGTACACAATAATGTCTGAAAAGATATACACCTAAAGAGTGATTACTTCTGGATGGTGGGATCCCGAGTGAGCTTTGGTTTCTGTAAAAATTTACTCATTTTCTACTTTTTCCTCAATAGTTATTCATTACTTTTATAAGAAAAAATAACCTGATTCTCATAATTCTTAGCTCATAAATATTTAAGATAGGCATTTTGTGTGGGAGAACACTGCTTAATGTAAGACTGCTGATAAATGTTTAGTATGTATCTCAGATTGCATGCCATCTGATAGCCTATGAAGAAGCTGCTCTACTTATCCCTTCAGTAATTTTTCCCTTTTTCCTTTGGTCTTCTATGCTTCAGTAATTGCTTTACATACTGTCCTACTGTGCATAAATACAAGGCGAGGCTCACAAGTAAAAAAATCTTCAACCTACAGCTGCAAAGCTACCTGTCCATATATGACTTAACTATTCCTCTCCACAAATAATTATAAAGAATCAAGACCTTCAGAATGATCAGAGTCAACATCTACATAACACGTTATTGCTGTTAGTTGCCATTAAGCCGACTCTGACTCATGGTGACTCCGTGTGTGCAGAGCAGATTGCTCCATAGGGTTTTTAAGGCTGTGATCTTTCAGAAGCAGATCGCCAGGCCTGTCTTCTGGGGCCTATGGTGGGTTTGAACTGCCAGCCTTCTGGCTAGTACTCGAGTGCTTAACCGTTTGCAACAACCAGGATCTCTTATTCCACTGTTGTTGTTAGGTGTTGTCGGGTCAATTTCAGTTTATAACAACCCCAAGAGACAGAAAAACTGTCCAATAAGGTTTGCTAGGCAGTAAACTTTATGGAAGCAGACCACCAGGTCTTTCTCCCATAGAGATGCCGTGTGGGTTCAAACCGCCAACCCATCAGTTAGCAGCAGAGTGCTAACAGTTGCACCACCAGGGCTCCTTTTTATCCCCTTACTTACTATAAAATAAAAGATGTAAAAGAAGTTAGTACATTTTCGGTTGTATGTGTGTTAACCGTAGCATGTTAGGTGGGAGTACAACTTCATAACTGTCTTTATATGGAGATTATGTATGGTTTAAAGAGGTGTATAGGTGCCAAGCTGATAAAGAGTGGACTGCGATGATTAATTTATGTGCCAACTTGGCTAGGCCAGGACTCTCAGTGTTATAACACCAGTAAAAACCACGGTAACATATACTCTTATTTGTGCTTTAGAACAATGGTGAGAAGGTATTTTTTTCATTCTAATAGATAAAAACATAAACCCAGAGAAGTTATTTTGCCTAAAGACACATTAGACTTAAGTCCAAATTTTCTTTACTCCCAATCCAATCCTTATTCCAATTATTCTGCCTTTTGTTGTAACTTTATGTTGAAGTTGGATTGTTAACATGTTAAAAATAACACAGGAGCCCCCAGTGGTTCGAAGAGTTAACACACTCAGCTGTTGACCGAAAGGCTGGAGGGTGAATCCATCAAGAGATGTCCTCGAGAAAGGCCAGGTGATCTATTTCTGAAAAATAAGCCACTGAAAACCCTACGGAACACAGTTCTACTCTGACACACATGGCATCACTAATTTACATGAGACTAGTTAGAAACTATTCGTGATAAAAGCAAAGGACTATATTCTTTACACCACTCCAACAGATTATTCTCTAAGACATGGGCTTTTCTTTCAATTTTCACTGCATATATGTGCCAACCTTGTTTTCTCTACAGAATCTTATCACCTTTACATGGAGTCCAGCCATAATAGTAGGTAGTTTCAAGTGATTATCTCTTCTTCACACTTTTGTCTGGTTTTATAGATTACCTGAAATAGCTAGTATCTATTGAGCACTCATTAGATCACTTGCTATGTGGATCAAAGTATATGCATATTTTAACTTTTATAAGACTTTCTACACCACTGGAGGTTGAAAACCCATCCCAAATTGTTCTTTTGCAGTATTCCAGGATCTGCGTCTTTGCTGTATCCCTTCTGACATTTACCCAGAACTGGAAAAGAACAGGTCCCAGAACTTTGTTCTTCTATTTCTTATCTGGATATTTAAACATGTGGTAATAGAACTAGACTGCAATCAAATACTTACGCTTCAAGATTCATAAGACACCTGATACAACAGAACATACCAGACTCAGCTTTCTCTGTTTTCTAAGTTTATTTTATATTAAGAACAGCTGTATCTTGAAATGATGGGGTGGATGCAGGATTGATGAAATAGTCACAGAAGATATTTAACATCTTGATTTAGATTCCATCAATTATAATTCATCTCTACGGTCAGAGAATAATTATTTCCCATTTTCAAAAATTTCTGCACTAGTTTTAGGTGGCTTGGGTATAGACAACCTGAAGGCACAGATTAATTTAGTGGGTTTGGTCGAGAATTTACATTGAGGTTGGTGACATGGTTAGGGGTGATAGTTTGAGTTAGTCTGTTTTATTCCAACTTGTGCTCTGTAACTTGGGATAACCCACTGCTCTATAATGTGGGATGATCCATCTCAACCAGACACATAAACAGCTAATACTAAGGTAATGACTTCCTGTGGTTTCCTATATATATGGCTAAAGTGGAAGAAAAAGGAAAAATGATACAACAGAATTACTACTACAAAAATTACTAATGTAATCTCAGGCTGTTTAAAGAAGCACAATATTTAAAAAAACAGGCAAACAGTAGCTCAATTATATTCTATAATGGCCAATCAGTATGCTCAGGTCTACTTTTCCTATTATGCTCAGCTCTATTTCTTGTATTACAAGTAGGATGCTGATGCATTCAGGAGTGAGTAACTAAATCTTACTCTCTACCTTTACAGCTAAACTATGGAAGTTGATAAGCCAAAGGAGAGCTACTAAGACACTACAGATTTTTTAGACTTTGAAGGCTTGTAACAGATATGAGGTCAGAGACTGATTTGGGGCAATCAGGAAAGCAGTATTAGAATGAAAAGATGGAAGCCACAGGATGTAGACCCAATGTGACAGTTCAGAGTCATTTGTCCAAAATCAGAAGACACAGGCTTGCATTACACAGGTAATATACTTCCACTCCACTGGCAATTTTCAAGCAGAAGTTAGGTAAACATTCATTACAAACATTCCATTTTGGGTAGGAAGACTGAATAATTCTCTTCCAACTCGATGATTCTACAATTTTATACTCCAAAAAAGCATAACACTTGGCCCACCATTCCACCCTGTAGTTCAGTGCTATACATTTGTTACAGCCTGTAATATAAAAACCTGTGCATTTTACAAATTAAGCAATTAGAAATGTCCAATTATTTGGGAAGGGACACAAGTTAGTAAATAACTAATACAAAACTGACAACACAAAGGGCCATTTTAATAAATAATCTAGCTTTAACAACTGGACTCTGGTAAGACAGGCAATGAAAAAAACATTTCTCACTTGGGCAGGAATTGGGGTGTATTCTACTTGTGACATGCAGACAATCTCTGTCTAGAAGACCTGTCTTTAGTTCATTTGTTAAATTATGCATTTCTACTTATATGCCTGCACAGTTTTTGAGACTAAAAATGGAGAGTGGTAGTGAGGCAGGAGGGCAGGGCAGAGCAGAGCTCAAGACTCCTCTCCTGTAAAATGGCACCATCTCGAAAATACTCCTCCTGAAAGACCGGGTAAGGATTTAGAGCAAGGATATTAGATAACCACAGTACTTGGAAACTTTCACCGTGAAGCAAAAGATCAACAGCCAGTTCTTGAGGGTGGGAGGGTCAAAGAACAGATTTTGGTAACAAAAAAGCTAAGAATCCTTTCCCTGAAAAATGTACATCATATTTTTCCAAATCTAAGATGTCATAAATCTTAAGATGCAACATTTATTCCTTCAGTACTTTTTTGTCAGGCTAAAAAATCTGACTCATAAAATACAGATATGCACCTCGATGTCAGAAATGTTAAAAAAGGAAGTATGGTTTGTACATATACACACAAATGTACATACAGAAACCTTTTTTTCTTTTTTTTAAAATCATTTCACGGTTCATGACCCTCCCTCAAGTGTCAATTATACACATCAGGTTAAGAATACCTACCCTAACTTAAGGTCTTAGCCTGCCTAACAGGTGGTATCTCTGGCTATTTGCAATGTTGTCCTTCTAAGTGCCAGAAGTACAGGGTTAGAGCTGTTCCCAACTGCTTCAACCTGAGAAACCTTGGGAAACCTAACTAGTTCTTCCCTAAGCACTGGGTCAAACTTGTAGGTTTTACTTCTTGCTGGTGAATACAATGTAGCTAAGAGGAAGGGTCCAGAAGCCAGATTGAGTTTGAATCTTAGTTCCACACATACTATGTTAACCTTAGACAATTTATTTAAGCTCTCTGTGTCTTAATTTCTGAGAGACACCAAATAAAATAATACCAGTATCTGAGTTAAAAATACCAATTATTTGAAATAGAACCAGACATTCAGTAAAAAGAAACCATTACCTGTTTTGCTGGCTTGCCTATTCTTATTCAGACTGGTTCTTACTAGGTAAGACAGGATCATTACTAGATAAGATTAGGTAAGACAAGATCAAGATTTAGATGTGAACTTAAGGAGAAAGAACTCTCAGTCTTGTCTGATTCTAGGCCCAAACCTCCCTCTAGCCTAGACAAAAAGAATCTTGTACATGGTTCAGTTTACCTAATCAGTGAAGGATACTGGAGATTGGAATAAGACTCAAGTTCTTTTTTATTCCCTCCTTTTCTTTTTTTTTTTTTACTTTTTGTTGTTGGTTCTTTTTTTTTTTTTATTGTTGTAGTTTAAGTGAAAGTTTACAATTAAAGTTAGTCTCTCTCATACAAAAATTTATATATACATCCCCCCCTTAAATTTTAAAGAGCCTAATCCTCTACCACCCTCACAATCTTTGTGGCTACAAAGGGGAGCTGAGCAAAGAAACAGGAATCAGTCTGTCCTCTAGGCATTTCTACCTCTCAAACCCTATCCATAGAAGACACATCTGATAGACGGCTTGCTACTTACCTGAGTTACTACAATATTACACTCTGCTGCTCGGTCATTCTGGATAAAGTCATCTAGAATGAACTGCGGCACCTGTGTGGTTTTACCACATCCAGTAGCACCTCGAATAATGACAACTGAATTTTGACTAATTGCGTCCAGGATTTCATTTTCAAATTTCTTCACAGGCAGTAACTCTCTCTCCTGCAAGATCTGTATTAGGAAAGTTACATCTCAGTCAAATTTCTAACAACATACACATTAGAAGCAACTATCTTAATCCTAAAATTCCATCTCTAAAAAAACTTACTCCATTCTTCTGGCTTAATACTCAAATATATTTTTTTTTCCATAGAAGTATATATATCTCTCTAACAGAACTGTCTCTTTTCACTGAGAATCTAGCATGTGGCCTTGTCCATACCTTTATTTTTCCTCTCTCCCTGAACACAACATGTGCATTTCCTTTCTTCTAACATTTTAATGTTAAATTTTATTTGAAAAATACCGAAAAACATTCCCCCTCCAAAAAAATTACTACTCAAAATCTTCCACTTAAATTATAAAAACAAAAAAGTAAAATTCTCTCCCACGCCCTTAATTTACAACAACTGCCTTCAGAAGTAACTAGTATTAGCAGTTTGGCACATTTTTTTCTACCCTCCTAGAAAGGACAGACTACATTATTCATGGTACTTTTGCCCATGCATACAAAGTTCTGAAGCTCTGAGCACCATTTGTCTAAATAGTTTACAGACTTACTCCTTGCAAATTACGATCCTGTTCCAACTGGTACATTAGTTCATTCTTGAGGTCAGTGCTTATTTGTTCTGGAGTAGCCTATAAAAATGGGAAGGCAAGTTGAAACAAAAGCACATTAACTCAGCTTTTAAACTGGATCCATGTTTTACCTAGACATCCTGATGAAGTGTATCTGAGAGTAAAACACAAGAGTCTGATCTCAAGAACGATGATGCACTCACATAAGCCAGGGGGCCCTCATCAATGTTGCTACTAGTCCAAGGATTCCAGTTGGATTGTGGAGGTGACCAAGGAACCACACCCATTTGATTTTGTCGCTGAGATGGTTCAAAGTGTGCCAGTTTGTCAATGTTGAGTAAAACTGGCACAGACGGATCCTCAGGCTATTAAAAAAAAAAAAAGAACAAAAAAAGCAATAGTATTAAGAGCTGCTTGTCTGACTACAGAAGTTATATGCAAAGGTAAACTAAATAGCCATATGCTTACTGGTGGCACGATCTCAAGATTCAGCTCTTGAACGACGTTTTGCAGCTGATGCTCCAAGTCTTGAGAGAGGTTAACTTTGTAGGGCTCCAACTACAGAAAAAGTGTAATCACAAAAATCATGTAACACAACTATGAGCACTACTCAAATCTACTATCACAGGTTAAGGTATTAATTCTATAGACTCACTGTCTCTCCTTCTTTCTTCTTTGTAAGTCCAGAGTACGCTTCAATCACTCCAAGATGGTAGAGTTGCCTAACAAGCGACAGGGCACAGGACTGTGCTGCCAGTTTCTTATTTGATCCATGTTCACGTGCGAAAATCCCTAAGATGTAAGGTCAAGGTTACCAAAGACAGAAGGATAAATCCCCTGAGTAAAGAAACATTTTATTACAAACTAGTGGCTTTGGTACAAAAGAAGCCCCAAATAGAATACGCCATAGGTTCCTTCTAAGTTTCTTTTCAATTTGCTAACCAAAAGCAACTCCAGAACAGAGTACCAACTAAATAACCATTCTTGTTTACAGACTGATATGAAGACACATACAAATCAATGTATGAAAGCAAATAACCTGTTTCAACAAAGCTGTCATCATCATTTGTCATTAAAACAGCAGAAATAAATATTCAGTTTAACTTTTCAAAAACAAAAAGATCAAAAAGCAAAACAATCAAAGGAATCAAAATAGGTCCTAAGTGGTCCTTTAGACCAGTGGTTGGCAAACCTTTTCTGTAAAGGGTCAGATAATATAGATCTTAGGCTTTGCGGGCCATATGTCTTGTCACAACTGTTAAGCTCTGCCTTTAAAGCATGAGAACAGCCATAAGCAATACTTAAACTAGGAGTTGACAAACTACACGCTTAGAAACTAAGAATGGTTTTTACGTCTTTAAAGAGTTATAAAAATAAAACAAGAATAACAATATGTGACCTGAAAAAATCTGAAGAATTTACTAGATGGTCTTTACAGAAAAAATTTTTGCCATCCCAACATAAACCAATGGGTGTAGCTGTGTTACAATCAAACTATTCATAAAACCAGGCAGCAGACTGTAGTTTGCTGACGCCAGCATTAGACTAAAGCTAGCAGTTACTCACATTCTTTAAGAAAATACTATGAGAAAGCTTCCTTTCCTTCCATAGCATTCAGCTTCAGGGGAGATGACTAGAAACCAAGGAAGGAGCACAAAAATACCTTCCTGCCTCATCAACCAACTCAGTCCGATTAATCTTGATGATGGGATCAATGGGCTGCCAGAAGTTAGATTTTCTTTACCCCCATCCACTCAAAACAACTAATTCTTAGACTCTAGGATACAAAATTTGACATTATCTCCTGGTGAACGATTCAAAGGTTTGATTCTGTCAGATACTCAGGGACAGATTACCCAATAAGCAAGGTAAGCACGTGCTTAGGGCATCAACAAAACAGGGGCACCAGTTGTTCAAAGCAAAAACCCACAGATGCCAAGCAGATAAGAAACAAGGAAAAGCAAGCACACAACAATGATTCAAGAAAGGCTCTATTCATTAACCTTATTATGTACGGAAGTAGATACTGTTTAGCAGCTTAACCGTGACAAATTCACTGAAGAATTTTTTTTAAGAGTAAAGAATAGAAAGAAATGTTTTTAATTATAACATGATGGAGATGAAAGATTTATCTAAAATTAAAATAACTTATTGTAATATTTGTTTTCTGATTGTTAAGTTTTCTTTTATGACATCTTTTCATTTGTTCCTTTATAATTATAGCATTTATTACAAAATAAGCATCAGAAGTGAAGTATGAGCCACGCAGATCAAAATCGGTGAAACTCAATTTTGCATTGTGGGAGATAAGTGGATTTTATACTGACTGTTGAAACAACTAACTTCACTGACTCATCTTCTTTACTGTAGAATATGTGGAATATTCTTTTTGTAGAAAATGTGGTATATATTAAAAATCTTAGTACCCTGTATCCACTAATAATTTTATAATCCAGTTCATCTCATTCCGCTAAAACAGCATACGCCATTTTTGCGTTCAATCACTAATAATATAGTCATATTTAAAAAGAAGTTACATCAAGGAGAGCTAAGACACACATGTATATGTCTAATTCACATATCCCATTCAAACGCATGAGTAAGCAGAGGAGGGAGCAGCACAGACTATCAATGCTTAGGGCTCTCACATGCCTTAATCCAGCTCTGCATATACTAAGTTTAAATCATTCATGTTAGTCACAGAATTCTCAAGCTGAAAAGAATCTCAGACAGTTTCTCTCAATTTGAAAATAAGTAAACTGAGCACTAGTAATGTAAGATGTGATTTTTTCAAAGCCACAAAAGTTCTTAGTGGCAAAATCAGTCAGGTGTGCTAGTTCCTTATCTTTTAACACACTGCCTGCCATAAGCTTACTGGGTAAGACTACACACACCGTATTTTAGCTTTCTTACCTCCTTTATGAATAACTCCCATCTATCCTCAGGCTTCTAATCCTATTGTCTGATTTACTCCTTTCTAAATTTCATCTCACTAGTTTTACCTGAACAAACTGAAAGAACACTTTTATGAAGAAAGATAAAAAAATGTTTCAAAGTTCTTTGAAACTGACAGAATTTTACCCTTTCAAATACTGTACTAACATGAATTTTCTCTTCTCATGTGCAAACTGGTAGGCTGGGCCCTCTAATTCATACAATTATCCTACATGCTACCAAATATCATGTGCTCTTTCAATTAATAAAGTTTAACACATACGTAGGTCAAGACTTTAATGTAAAGACTACTGCTCTATACAAAGACACAGAACATCAGAGAAGCAGTAACACTTACTTCTGCCCAGCTGCTTGATATAAATGGTCATTTCTGCAATAAAACTCCTGTAACAACATATACAAACAAGGTTAGGAATTTTACTGTTGGGAATTTCTTAATCCAGGATTCCCAAATCAGGCAGGCTTTCCAACTGCTTAGGCAAATCACAGCAAAAACACCACTGTACAATTTATGCCTGTTCAATTCTAGAGTAAATGAAGTACATAAACTTCAAATAATATACAACATGGCATGAGACAGCTATAATCAAAGCTGATACGCCAATTGTTCTTGAAAATGTTAGGGTTTTAGATTCTGTATTTACTTGCTCTTATTGTAAAGATTAGCATCTGAGTATCTAGAACACATTCAATGAGAAGGAATCTTCCACTTAGCTTGGGGCAAGAAATAAAGTAGGCCCCAAACTCTTCAAATTACAGTTTGTGATTATCTTAAGATTCCTTTACATAGGCTGCCGATTAATAACTGCAACTGTTAAGCTAAATATATGCATCCATGCACACATACACATGCACATACAAGTACTCTGTGCACATCAGTGGCTCCTTAGGCAGATTCTGGGATCTGCCTGCAGTTGGAAGCAGCCCTTGGTAACAAAAAATTCAGCCCATCATTATCACATTTATTTAAATCAGGTCCTGGAGAACAACAGTTTTGAACATTATAGCTAAAACTGCTAGCAGATTCTAGGGAATAAATTTAGGTTTTAGCAAGGGGAGAACTGCTCTCTGAAAATTATGCATTCTGGTCCTTCCACTGCTTGGGTACATTCTAACCTTGACTTTGTGCTGTGAATAAAAGGTTAGATGAGGCTTTAAAAAAAAAAAAAAGTTAGGCTCCTTCCTATACCTCTTGTGAACTGACCTTCAGGCACAGCGGCTTCAGGGGTCAAAGGCCACTGGCTTTCAGGGAAACAACATCCACCCTTTCATTAATGACACCGATGCCAGTATGTTTCTCAGCCAGGCTTAAAGTCAGCACTCAATCTCATTCTCCTCCACCTAGGGGGAACAGCGACACCAGAAATCAGTTTACAATAGTTTCCCATGTGATTGCTTAGTTCAGCCTAAGCAGCAGCACATGTGTGTATGAACACAGACCTCTGGTGTTGCTGTCTGTTATGCCTTTAAGTAAAGGACATACAAGGAGCAATGCTGTCTTAGATTGCCAGTGGAACCCCCAATTGTCTTTGCTGCCTTCCACCATTGTCATATCCTGAATTCTTCAATTCTTTGTACCAGAAACTAATAAGGTACTGATATCAAAAAATGCTTGCAACAATGAGCTTCAGGCACACTGAGGTATCTTGTTTTTAAAGTTGCCAAGTGCTAAGCTCAATCAGTTCAAAAGGAAAATATATTTAAGAAAACAAATCAACAAATTCATTTTTCCTCTGAAGGTTAAAAAAAATTTTCTGACACATGAAATACAGTATTTGAGAATTCAGGATTGAACAGAACAGTGGGAAGAAGCAGGGGGAACCATGATTTGAACATCATTTTGACCACAGTGTCAAAGTTTTATTTCAGTAATAATTATTTTAGAATGGCTAGATGCATCTGAAGGAGAACATCTTGATTTTCAAGGGAAGAATTTTTAATGTATTTGAATAATTTGTCATATAATTAAACAGCGAATTGAATCATCCAGAACCTCCCTCTCTTCCCATAAAAATAGTGCCCCCCAGAAGAGTCTAATCTATATGAGCCTTCCTGGGAGTAATTAACTACTACACCCTGGAATGCTCTCAGGAAGAACAGCAAGCAGGCTGAGAAACATACTGTCACTGTTACAACCTCCCTTTATGTTCAGTTTTAAACATAACAAAAAAATACATGCTAATTTAATCCATACAAGAAGACAGAGGCTATCCTTTTTCAGCTTTATAATAAGTTCTTAAGTTTCAACAACAGGACTCCTATGAGAGCTGACAACTTTCAAAGCTGAAGTGAAACGTAGATGCACATCAAGACGCAATCCAATCTACCTCTGAGACTCTTAAACTTAAGGGTTTAACCAACCCATTAAAGAAACAACACAGTTCCTTATAAAGATACCACTGTGAACAAAACCACCACCTCTGGCTGGTTAAGTGAATTAGGGACAAACCACCACTCATCACGTGAGAACCTTAAAAGTTTAGCAACACAAACAGATTTCTGCAGAAGGATGAGCTTCTTACACAACTAAATCACACTCAAGTGAAAACTATGGTAAACTGCACACTACAAATCAATGACAATAATTTTTGTCCAAAATAGGATATTCTTTCCAACAGTTCTCTCTAATCTACATACTGAACCAGCTAACAGTACAACAATGGAACATATTCAACCCCAACTTATTATAGAAAGGAAAGAGCGAAACAAGCAAACCTGTTGTGATCAGGACCCACTTGGGTGTACTTATATTCTCCTTGAATCTTTTCTTTTTGGAAATATTGGTTCAGACGAGCCTTAGCATTTTCCAAGGTCCAGTTTCCATGAAGCCCAGCATTTAAATCCACTTCTTCCGATTCTAGAGTCTAATGAATCAATGGTAATTAGATTTTGCTGCACTGATTTTACTTTAGGCATGCATATTTAAGGATCAGAAATTTATAACAATACCTTCTTTGTACCACCCTTTACACTACAAAACCTGTTTTTAATAGTTTCTAGTACTAATCAAAATTGAACAAGAATTAGTTTTTACTGCATCTGAAGGCCCAATAGTATAAACAAGCCACTAGTTAATGTACTCAATTTAAATAATTCCTATAAAACCCCTGGCAGATTATTTTGGCTTCTTCCTAACACTTAATTTTTAAATTGAGTGGAAAAATAAGCTGTGCTATCAAGACATTTTTACTGTGAGTGCCCATGAAATGAAGTTTCTTAAGATAATTACAGATTACAGACAAGGAAACCTTTTATTACTATCAGGAAAAACACTGTTGTTTCATACGAATTCCACTGACCAGATTTAATGGGCAGTTTATGGTGACTTATGAGGCGAAGCAGTCTCAAATAAACACTTAAAAGAATCCTCAAATTATTAATTTGTGAACATCCTAAACCTTGCTGTGTAGTATGTCCCAAAATCACATTCCCAGAGATGCAATACAGGGCAGTAGCCTTACCGCTTGTGCTTCTTGTTCCTCCTTCCTTGAGTAGTAATCCTTTAAGTTGGCTCCCCGATCCCAGGTGGGCCCAGACACACCATAGCCAGAGGCTCCAACTCCAGAATTATTTTCTATAAAGATTTTTTGCTTAATGAGTCAAACTGTAAAAAAAACTCCTAAATTTTTTAACTGTGATTTAAGTTAGTTTACAGAGTAAATTAGTTTCTCATTAAACAGTTAATACACAAACTGTTTTGTGACACTGACTGCCAACCCCACGACATGTCAACACTCCCCTTCTCCACCCCAGGTTCCCTGTTTTCCATTTGCCCAGTTTTCTTGTCCCTTCCTGCATTCTTGTCTTTGGTTTTGGGCTGGTGTGCCCATTAGTCTCATGTACATGACTAAACTATAAAGCACGTCCCTCACGTGTGTTATTGTTGGCCCTACAGACCTGTCTAATCTTTGGCTAACGGCTGAACATCAGCAGTAACTTCAGTACTAAGTTAAAAGGGCATCCCAGGGGCCATACTCTCGGGGATTCTCTGTCAGACCAGCAAGCCTGATCTTTTTTGTGTGAGTGAATTTGAATTTTGTTCTACATTTTTCTCCTGCTCTGCCCAGTACCCTGTATTGTGATCCCTGTCAGAAGCTGGTGGTGATAACCGGGCACCATTTAGTTGTTCTGGGCTCAGTCTGGTGGAGGTTGTGGTAGTTGCAGGAACTCCTAAATATTTTGTTTAAAGAGTTTCTATTTTGCTTTTGGCACTCCATGATTGGAAATCCAAGGTTTCAATTATTTGGAAAGGGGCTCAAAATGTCTAAGACATACATGAAAAGTGATGGCTGATGCGTACAGGTCTAAATTACATATCCCAAGGCTGGTATGCAGCGGGAAGCTACTTTACTAGTGAATGACATTAAGTGACAGACATCTAGCACACAGATCAACGTAGCTTTTTTCTCAATTTGTTCAATATGTAATAACTGGTTAAATAGGAAAACTATTTACCATACTGGCTAAACATGACCCTGAAAACAAAGTTAACTACTAGTGTTGGTGATGAAAATAAAGAGAAGCTCAAGAAGTATAAAGAAGTGATGAATCTTGATGAGAGCAGAATAACTGAAAAGAGCAGCTAGCCATTGACTGTTAATTCTACTAAGTTAATTATACACGTATTTTTTTCCTTTACTCCTCAAAACAATTTTGAGGCAGATACTACTGCTATTCCCATCATAAATACTGGATTTGAGCCACAATCTGACCAATAGCCTAGCTAATCTACCCTACAGTGGACACCCCAATAAAAGTTTTGGCTATATCAAAGAGTAAAATATAGACTTCGGCAAAGACTTGGATTCATAAGGTAAATAAACAAGCCCGTATTTGGTAGAAATAAGTTAAAAACAAGACGGGGCAATTCATAAGACCCCTTAACCAACTGTTGTAGCCTGTGCAAAACCTATTCAGATAAAATTTAGTAAAAGCTAACGACAGTAAAGAATTACGTTGTACCACATTTTATAAAACAAATTAAATGATCTGGTGGTATCTGCAAATGTATGAAGGCCTTGGGTTGTCTCTCGTAACATCACGAGTTTACTGCACTTATTTCTTTCTAACCAGTGAGAAAAAAGGGAATTAGAGATGATAACGAAGCAAGATTCGTGTATACTTTATTCTCGCGGTCATGCGCACACATTCAAGTCTCTTACCTGCCTTGAGGGCCAGATGTGGAGGAAGTGGTCCTCCCATGGTTGTGGGTAAACTTCCATCAGTACTTGCTGTGCCATCGGAAGAATCAGTAAGTGAAGGTGGAGGTGGTGCTATCTGCAAAAGGAAAAGTCAAGGCAGCGTCAGTGCTTTTGCTATCATGAGGACCAGTAAATTCTTCTAATACTAAAGGAGGCCCATGTGTAACATCTCCTTTCCCCCATAATCTTAACATCTTTATTTTTAGCAATCATAAAACCACTGAATTCTCATTTAAGGCAGAAAAGGGTAAGAGCAGTAAATACTATTCATAATCTCCCTTTTGGAGATGTGTCTATAACACACACACACACACACACACACAAAATGTGAGCACATACAATTTTTCCACAGAAAGTTATATGGATCAGTTTTTGCTGTATAGTAATCTACACTTTCCACTTAGTATCTTCTTTAATGCATTCAACGTTCAACAATAATTAGTTCAGTGTCTTTTAAATGCTAGACATTGTTCTGGGTGCTGGGATACAGCAATGAACAAGACAGACAGAAGCTCTGTCCTCAAAAAACTGTATTCTAATGGGAAGAGCTAAATATTAAGTATATATGTCAAGTGGAGACGAATACTACAGAGAAAAATAAAACAGGAAAGAAAAATAAGACTCTGAGAGGTCACTATTTTAAATAAGGTGATCAATGAAAGCCTCACTTGTAAGGTAACAGTTAAGAGACCTGAAGCAAATGAGGAGCCAATCAAGATCTGAGAAGAATACTGCAGAGGGAATATCAAGCTCCAAGGCAAATGCACAATATTTCACATTTATCTTCTACTTCTTTAAATACTGACCTTGTACCAATTTTGATGACTTACTACTCCATTGTATGGATATACTATAATTTACTCAACCAATAGCATGTTGATGGATATTCAGATTATAACCAGTTTTAAACAAATTGTAAAACTGCCACAAATACCTCTGTACTTAGGCTTATTTCCTTTAGGAAAAATTCATCAAAGTGAAATTCCTGGGTCAAAAGGCATCATCATTTTAAAAAGCACCATACTCTGCTACAGAAAGCTTGTTACCTTACATACTCACACAGCACTATATATGAGGACCAATTTTCCCATACCCTATCTAATGCTAATTTTACCTGTTAAACAATCTTAACTTTCGCTTTGTTTTTATAAAAGTAACCTCTTATTTTAATTTACATTTTTGTTGCCCATTATTCTCTCTGGATGTTCACTGTTCTCATTAACTTCTAAGAATTTTTAATATTTTAGAGCTATTTACCCTTTGTTATAAAAGTTGCAAATAGTTGGTTTCTTTGCTTTTTGTCCTTTTCACTTTCATTAATGTGCTTACTGCACTAAAGGGGTGTAGTATTTTTTGTTTTGTTTCTGAAGCCAAATCTAGTTTCTGCCTTTAGTGTCCTCCATAAAACAGTCGTTGGTATTCTAAAATCTGTCTGCATTATTTTTAAATTTTATTTTTGTTTCTTTTTACTTTGGAGCCAGTATAATTCAAATCTAGTTAGTATAAGACTAAAGTAATTCAAACTTTTATTAATATTGTATGTGGTAGAAAATAAGTTAGTCTTCCTTTCAGCTTTTTCCAATTGTTCTTGGGTATTCTTTTGACAATTATTTTTCATAATCAACTTTTTTGTCTAACTTCTAAAACAATGTTAAATTTATACAATTACTCAAGGAGAACTGATTTCTTTAAGGAGAACTGATTTCTTTATAATAACGAATTGAGTTTTACAATAATGAAACTTTCATCCAGAAACATGGTATGGCTCTACATTTAATCAAATCTTCTATCTGCTGAGAGAATTCTGGATGCTACCTTGTATTTCTGGCAAGTCTCACCTAAACATCTTTTCAAGGATATCTGGGCAGCAAATAGCCTTAGACTACAGACATACTATCTTCCTCTAGGGCAAAAGGGAGATCTGTTCTCTGACCAGGATAAGATGTTTATCATAAGTCAAAGGTTCAGAAGGTTTGCATAGGAGTCCCCTTTCAAGATTGGGGGGTTTCCTAATGTGGAAGAGAATATCAGCTTATCATGGAATCCAGACTTTCTGGAGCCACCAAGGCTGGATGAACCACTGAACTACTACCCCTGACCTCATCTTCAAACCGAACAGTAGTCTGGCGTAACTAGTAAGGAATATCTGCCTTGAGCTCTTTTCAAGAACTATCCTTTATGGATCAAACTGACAACAGCAACTCAAAAGAGTAGACGGGAACCTCAGGGGGCATTGAGCTTATCTTAAAGGCAGGAGATGGAACAATCTGGAAGAGGAGGACGACAATGGGTGCATAACTTGAAGAATGCAATCAATGTCACTGAATTGAACATGTCTAAATTGTTGAACTGGTGTATGTTCTCAGTAATAACAAAGACTGGGGGTTTTCTAAGCTGTGACACAAAGCCACCGCGTGCATGGCATCCACCTGGGCCTGCTCAACATTGCCTCTGTGGAATTTGGGGACAAAAGGAACTGGTGCAAACATGAAGCTCATGCTGCCTGCTATGTCACGAATAATAACAGTCTTTGCCTCTGACTTGGAAGTCTTGTGTCTTCTGCCAGGACCTATGAAAACGTGCAGGCTAAATTGTTAGCTTGTTAAGTATGGTAAAATCTTGGACCCTTCAGAGTTCTAGATACCATCCTTCAGTAAAAATTTGTTCTACTGGTCTTATCCACCACCAGCTGTCATCAAGTCGACTCCGACTCAAGGCAACCTCATGAGTGTTAAGAGTAAACTGTGCTCCATAGCGTTTTCAACGGCTGGTTTTTCAGAAGCAGATCGCCAGGCCCTTCTTCCTAGGCATCTCTAAGTAGACTCAAACCTCCAATCTTTTGGTTAGCAATAAAGCACATTAACAATGTGTACCACCCAAGGACTACCATTGGTCTCAGAGGCCCTACAAATTACATATTCTTAATTTCTTTACAATTTTTACTACTACTGTGAATACGATATTTTTCCAATTAATATTTTTGTGATGTTGATTTTTATATATTAATCTTAGAACAGGTTATCTTACTAATCTTTTATAATTTCATCAAATTGTTGTTGATTCACTTGTTTGAATTTTCTAGCCATGCTACCATCTACAAAATACTGACATTTTTGCCTGTGCCTTTACAATACTTACACTTCTTTTTCTTCTCATACTACCTATATCTCGTTTCTCTTTATTTAATGCATTATACTGAATAATGCTTGTGATAGTAGACACCTTGGCCTTAACTGTAGGGGAATACACCTCAACCTGTCTGTGATCAAGAACTGGTTTTGACCCAGATAGGGAAGTCACAAAAGTAAATCAAAGCCAAAACACTGAAAATAGGAAAAGAGATGTCAATATGTAAAAGATGACAACATTAAAAACAACTTCCGAGGCCAACTCTTCAGACAGGGATTGGACCAGACTGTGGGACATAAAGTTACACTCGTGAGGAGTGTGCCTCTTAGCTCAAGTAGATACAAGAGACTAAACGGGCAGCTTCTGTCCAGAGGTGAGACGGGAAGGCAGAGAGGGTGAGGAGCTGGTTGAATGGACATGGGTAATCAGAGGTGAAAACGAGGAGTGTGCTGTCAAAGTATGGGGAGAGCAATTAGGGTCACATAACAACATGTATAAATTTTTGAATGGGAAAAAAAATTAAAAAAAAAAAAAAAAAGCTTAAAAAAAAAAAAGAACTGACTGGCCTAAAGGAGACTGCAGAAACACCAGAATATGGCCCCCGGACACCCTTTTAGCTCAGTGGTGAAATTATCTCAGAGGTTCACCATTCAGCCTGGAAGTGGACAGCCCCGTAAAACCAAATGAGACTAATGAGGTACAGTAGTCCAGTGACAAGGGCCAGAAGGGGACAAGGAAGCTCGTGATAGGGAACCCAAGGTTGAGTAAGAATACTGTTGATGTGTTGTGAGATTGTTAACCATTGTCATAGGGCAACATTTGTAGTAACTGTTAAATGAGAAACTATTTTGTTCCGTAAGCCTTCATCTTAAGTGAGAATAACAGCACAATTGGAAGAGTATAGTCAATGTCACTGAACTCTGCATGCAGAAATTTTTGAAATGGTGTATCTTTGGCTATGTATATTCACCAAAAAAAAAAAAAAAGGTTGAGAAGTTAGAGGGTTGACACGTAGTGGGGTTGTTAATCAATGCATAAAACAGTATGTGTACTACCGTTTCATGAGAAACTACTTGTTCCGTAAGCTGCCACCTGAAGGACAGTTAAAAAAAAAATAATAATTGGGAAAAAAAAAAAAAAAGAACTGGTTTTGATCCATTGGGAACAGTATTTTTGTAAAACATACCATAAGTGAACTACTAAAAATAACAGGAAGATATGAAATCCAAGCCAAATTTTCTAAGATTAAAGAAATATAAAACTGCTGTCACAATGCTGTAAGTGTTCCAAAAAGGTCATTCAACTTCTGTACTTAGCTTCTCACGAACTATTAACTACTTTCTGCAGCACTGCTCTAGGGCTCATTTTTGTGTGTTTACTATTGATTTTATTTAGATGGTAACTTTTAGCATGTCAAGGGAGTAGCTCTACCGCACTGCCTGAACACTTCACTGGTAATACGTAATGTTATTAAATGCTTTTTAAAACTACTATTAAGATGATTATGGGTCTCTGGATGGCACAGTTTACACTCGACTACTAACCTAAAAGTTGGTGGTATGAATCCACCTGAGAAAGGCCGGGCAAGCTGCTTCTGTAGACTGCTGTTGTGTGCCGTCGACTCCACGTGTTAGAGAATAAAACTGATCTATAGCGTTTTCTTGGCTGTAATCTAAGTGGAAGCAGACTGCCAGGCCTTTTCTTCCATGGTACCAGTGGGTGGGTTTGAACTGCCAACCGTCTGGTTAGCAACTGAGCACAAACCACCTGTGCCACCTGGGAATCTCCATAAAGATTACTTACAGCCAAGAAAACCCTATGGAGCATTTCTACTTTGTAAAATGGTGCAAGCATTCTGATAGTGACTCATGGGGTTGCTATGAGTCAAAATCAACTCGAAGGCAACGGGTTTTTTTTTTTTAGAAGATCTACTGAACAGTGTTACGG